TGCTATTAATATCCTAAATAATCTTTGTAAAAGGCGATTATTAAATACACAAGTATTCTGAGGCTATAGTTTTATTTTTAACATAAATATATTATCTTAATGATAAAAAATAATATATTGGGAGACTATAGAAAGAAAAATTGCTCATAAGTGCCAACACAAGAAAAACTGTAATCACTTTTTAACACTCCCTCTGTTGACTTTTTTGTGGCTCTTTGCTCGGGAACGCATACCCCATGCATAGGCATTACCACTCCTTTGAGGAGGAAAATGAAGCCAACCTGCCCACTGACCAGAGGCAGACATGAAGCTTTTCCCAGGGTCATGATTATCTGTCGTTACCCAGGCCTGGGGGTGTGACCCCCAAGGACAGCGGCAGGTTTGTCACATGACTGACAACGCTCCTGTTCCTCTAACCAAGCCAGAGGCCACAGAGGTCTAACCTAGAAACTTGGACTTGAATTTCAAAATTCCTCCCCACCTCCAGATTTGTGTGGCTTTCTCTCTCCCACACATTCGAACCTAAGTTTGAAAACATGACCTGGGCAATGAGGAGGTTGGTGAACTAGTTTGTGTCTAAGAGCTCTTCCAACCCAAACATTCCAGGGTACTCAGATGCCATTCATCTTCCCTGCTCAACAGGCATATACAGACACACACACACACACATACACACACATGGCCTGGGTCACCAGTTCCACCCCAGAGAACAGCCTGCAAAAGAGTAAGAACACCTCTACTCAACCTCGCTAACTCACTGGGAAAACACAGAGATCTAAACAGAAGCACTTTTGTTTAGCATCCATGCTCAGAAAGAAGAAAACCTAGCAGAAACCAGTCTCAGGATCCAAGAATGTAAAAACATTTTTTTTTTTAGATTCCCAGAAGCTTCATGCCACAATGCCCCAAGTTGGGAAAAAAATGTCCTATTTCATATGTTTATAACAACATCTGATTTAATATTATACAGTTTTGCTTAGTCACAAACCAGAACAAGTACTTTCAGATTTATTGCATCCTTCTATTCAGAGACTTAAGTAATCACAGTTAATAACGCCGCCATTCCACAGCTCGAGGAAAAGCTTTATAATTTGGGGGGACCAAAAATTCCTGAGAGGCAGGTTATTTTCAAGAAGGATTTAAGGTTTTAGAGCTCTCAATGAAGCTTGAAATTCATCTGTTCCAGTTCACGTGGAAGGAGTTTCCTCTTAAGCTTGGCTGGGAGGTAGAAAGAGAGAAAAACCAGTAGGCTCACAGCATCTCCCTGAGCCCTAAGAGAATGTAGCAATTACTCATCAGCATTCCTAATCCTTACCTTGTCTTTAAATATTTTTTTAAACCATACCATCGGCTCCTATACTCTTTATGTTGTTAACACTGCGTTTGGGGCCTCCTTCTTATTTGTTGATTCATTGAAAGGCACTAATTGATTAAAAAAGAAGCAAATATTTTTACAAAACACTTTCTCATTTATTCCCCACACAAACGTGCACACACAGGCAATGCTTAAGCCCCAGGCATTGCCCCTTCCTGGCGAATTAATTCAGGATTAGTTAATGATGTGGCCGTTAACTCAGTTGCATGGAGGCTCAGGTGGTAGGTTTGGTGCCTTCAGAACTCTGCTGTCTTTCAGAACCCCTGCCTCCAGAAGGGGGTACTGTGGTCCCCTGAGGGCTGTAGGGGCCTCTGTGTGTGTTTGCATCAGTGTAAACCCATCATCTAAAATGTGTGCCTCCGTGGTTAACCATGATGTATTTGAGTTCCCTTTTTCAAAGAAAGCCAGGATTTGTCACTCTTTACCCACATGAAGGAGCATGCCCACATTACAGCGGGCTGAGCATTGTGAGAACTTGGTCTCCAGAAAATCAGGTAAGAGTTTAGAACAGTTGGGTTTTTATAAAAATGAGAATTCCTAACCCCACCTCAGTCCGCCACCGGCATAGCTGGGTGTCAGATACCGGAATGTCCACTCTACTCAAGGTTCCCACGTGAGTCACATACACACTAGAGCTTACGGACACTGATCTTAAAGGTCCCTTCCTGAAGTCATAAGCAGATGTTTCAAAACAAAACTGTAGGATTAAACCAGTTTCCAGTTGAAGGTACTACCAGTCTTTGAGATAACTCTTGCTGATTCTTGAGGAGAACCTGACCCAAAGCCAGAAGTCTCGAGTTCTCATTCTAGCCCATCACCTACAACATAGGCAAGTTAGGTAATCTCTTCAAACCTCACCAACGGGACTTAGGCAATCAGGGATAAGTGTAGTTGTAACACTGCAGCAGCTACAAAAAGCTTTCCCATCCATCTGAGCTCACTGGATTGCCAGGAGATGAAACAGTGTGTGCGGTCAACAGTACTCCGCAGACTTCATGACATGCTACAAATGTGAAGGCATAATGAGAATGTGGATGTGGTTTTAGATCAAAGAAAAATCCTCTTGTTTTAGATCAAAATACCTATTCTATTACTGATAAAGATTAGCTTGGAGGATGTGGTTTAGAAATAGAGAAGCAATGGAATTTCTCATGCTGAATCCCAGCGCTGAATTTATCCACCCAGCCTCAGGCAGCATGATACAAAACTGCAGGCTTCTCCCAACAAGGGCAGGGTTTTTCTGCCAAGCTCACCACCTGGCTCAAAGAGACCTGGGATCCTGCAGCTTGAAGATGAGCAGAGCCCAAGAAGAAAGGTGGGGCAGAGCTCCATTGCTGCCCCCAAATTTACCAATCAGGTCTCCCCTGAGCAGGAGAGTGTGAGGAGGCAGAGAAGGCTCAAGACTAATTAACATCCCTTCATGTGGGTGCATTAGGGATACGTGCCATCTTAATCCTGAAGCAGTTTATTGCAGGGAAGTTACCATCTCTGCCTCTGCCAATTTTTTTGTTGTTGTTGTTCTTTGGACCCACTGTGTTTACCCATTATGCCTGTGGTCAACCCGAAGTGGGACAGTATCTTTGTCATCCTTAACACCATTAGGGATCTTCCATTAGGGATCTTCCTGGGCAGGCAGTGTAGATTTTTGCCCCAGAAGTTTCTGAGATGGGCTCATACAGTACATTATGTTCTTCAAGGCCTTTCTGTAGTCAAGACAGAAAATGTAGATTCTCCCATCTCAATCTATTTCCAGCCTCATCAACCAACATAACCTATTAGAAATTAGGCAGTGAGACCCAATGATATCATAGAGGCACCCCAACAAAAAAGGCCAACTGTAAGATGTTCTACATTTGAACTTAACTCCTCTCAAAATATCAAATTACCAGGGACTCCAAAGCTCAAAATCCCCTTACAAGTTAAGGTCCAGGGGCGCCCGGGTGGCTCAGTCGGTTGAGCATCCAACTCTTGATTTCAGCTCAGGTCATGATCTCAGGGTCATGAGATTGAGCCCCGCTTCATGCTTTGTGCTCATTGGAGTCTGCTTGAGATTCTTTCTATCCCTCTCCCTCTACGCCTCTCCCCACTTGCGCTCTCTCTAAAATAAGTAAATAAAATCTTAAAAAACAAACAAACAAACAAACAAGTTAAGGTCCAAAGAAGTTAAAACAAAAAATTAAAGTCTAAAGTTAAGTTATCTCATCTGTGATCAAGGTTAAGTTTAAAGTCATTACATTTCAATTTCTTATTCTCTTTAGTCTCAGCAAGAGGTGTTCTTGGTGTTTGGGATGGGGGTGGGGTTCTCTCAGGGGCTAGAGTCAGGCTGTTTCCAGAAAGGGGGCCCTGGAGTTTGGATTAAGTCAATTCCAAGTCTCTGATGTGCCCCACTTTTTTTCTTTTTTATTACTATTTTTTAATTGTGGCAAAATACATATCACTTAAAATTTACTCTTAGCCACTTTGAAGTATACAGTTCACTGGTATTTTTTTAAAGATTTTATTTATTTGTCAGAGAGAGAGTGGGAGAGAGAGCATTAGTAGGCAGAGCGGCAGGCAGAGGGAGAAGAAGACTCCCCTGCTGAGCAGGGAGCCCAACACAGGGCTCGATCCCAGGACCCTGGGATCATCGCCTGAGCTGAAGGCAGACGCTTAATGACTGAGCCACCCAGGCGCCCCTACCGTTCAGTGGTATTAAATACATTCGCACTGCTGTGCAACCATCACCACCATCCATCTCCAGAACTGTTTGCATCCCACAAAACTAAAACTCTGTCCCCGGTAAACAGTAACTAACTCCCATTCGTCCTCTCCCAGTTCCCAGCAGTCATCATTCTACTGTCTGCTTCAGAGTCTGACTACGCTACATATCTCTTATGACTGGAATCATACAGCATTTGTCCCTTTGCGACTGACATATTTCACTCAGCATCATGTCTTCCAGCTTCATCCGTGTTGTAGCATGTGCCAGAATTCCCTTCCTTTTTAAGGCTGAATAACATTAAGCCTTTAAGGCTGAATAATATACATATACTACATTTTCTTTTTTTTAAAGGTTTTTTATTTATTTGACAGAGAGAGACACAGCGAGAGCAGGAACACAAGCAGGGGGAGTGGGAGAAGCAGGCTCCCCACTGAGCAGGGAGCCCGATGCGGGGCTCGATCCCAGGACCCTGGGATCGTGACCTGAGTCGAAGGCAGACACTTAATGACTGAGCCACCCAGGCGCCCCTACTACATTTTCTTCATTCCGTTCATCTCTCGTCAGACACTTGGGCTGCTCCCACCTGCTGGCTAGAGTGAATAGTGTTGCTGTGAACCTGGGTGTATATGCCTCACTTTCTAAACGGATCAAAAGGTTTACACCACACAGGAAATTATCACAGAACTATCGCCACATCATCAAACTTAGAAAACAAGTCACTCCCCAACCCCAGAGAGGGTATCCAGGCAAAATCAGGACTCCAAAACCCAATAGGTGGTGCTACTAAAGACAACAGCTGATGCAGAGGGAAGATTCCTCTTGGAAGACTCTTCTAAGGGACAAAGGGTAAACGGTTTTATTTGAAGTGCTCATCAGTCATTGCCAGGTGACCCTAATCCACACAGAGTTTAATCATGGCGCATGTCTGCCATATTCAGGGGAGACGAACTCCCCCTGTAAACAGTCTGCTCTCTCAGTGACTGGCATTTGAGACATCCCTGCCTTAAACACATTTTCATGGTTCAGACTAAGAACACAATTAAAAAGGATTCTACATAAAGGTTCATTTTCTGCCTGAGAAGCTTGAAATGTGGACACAACCAGCGACGGCCAACACTTCTGAGCGCGGCATGACGGAGAGGAAGACGAAGTGTTCGACCCAGCCCGTGCCCAGCATATCGACTGCAAAATGTCAGCTGTACATCCGTTGAAAGGGGGCTCCTCCCACAGGAAGCAAGATGGTGGGTCAGGGGGCACTCATAAAACTAAAACTTCAAGGCACAGTGTAATACAGGAAAATGGGGTTGAGCAACACATTGCTAAGTCTTGAAATCTTTATTTTGTTTCTTTTCAGAAGCACTGTGAGCATAATGAAAAGAAGACAGCTTTAAGAACTAAGCTTCACCCCACCAGGCATAACGGAGTCCAGAAACTATGTGAACAATCTTACTTGACAACCCCAAGACGTTTATATCTGTCCAACAAAAAACCAGAGGGGGAAACATGTTAATTTTCTCAGCCCTTTGATAGCACGTATACAAGATCTCTTAGCCCTACAGAAAGCCCCAAATATTCTCTAGAACTTCAACTGCCTTAAAAATATAGACTTGCATTTATCTTGGCCACATTAACGAGATCTGTTTGACCAATACATTTATATTTATGATGACTAAGGGCAGATTATGGTTGTTAAAATTTGTCCTCGGGACATGAAAACACTCCTCTGTCATTAATACATTTTGTAATATAAACTATGATGTCAGGTCAACGTAAAGGGTAAAAACGTTCCTAAAGTATGCACACATCATTTTTTAAAGCAATTGAGCCTAATGGAATAACAAAGGTCATCATAACAAACCATTACAGCCTTGGTCTTGGCAACTCTGGCCACAGAAGAATCTCCAAGAAACAATCATCATTCCTCCAATGTTATGGCATCCAGACGACAGGGCTGGCTTGCAAATGAGTCATACAGGCTCAGATCCTCAGTAGCTATGTGAGCGCTGGACGATCAATTATTCATGTGTTTACAAAGAGCTTTCCTGGTTGATGTTAACCAGAGCTGCTTGCAAAGAAGAGCTCTCCAGCTGTCCTCGGCCATCCCGGGCCTCCGACTAACGAGCCGCTTTAATTGCTGGGCAAGTCATCTGGAAGGTGCCCCTCCCCTAGACCAAGTAAACACCATCCCTTTGAAACTTTATTAGGTGTAAAAATATTAATCAGAAATAATTATGACAACACTTTATTTACAATACTCCCAGCAAATCCCAAAGAGAGAGAGAGAAGTTAGCCTTGACTTACATCCCACAGGGCTCCCCCAGGACTGGAGTCTGGACTACTGAAGATACAGGTCAGGGATTGGTAGAGGGCATAGAGCAGGAAATGAAGGGAAAGAATCAGAGGCTGTGGGCTTCAGGAGGGAGGTAGGAGGAAGAGCAGTCTAGAATGCCCTGTGACGGTAAGGGAGCACGACTGAGGACCACCAAGAATGAATAAATTAGGTTGGTCAATAGCCAAACGTGAGTGAACTTGACCCAGCCATCAAAATCAACCTTGGAAGAAGTTAGATGAGAAGACACTTTTCAGCCCCTTTTGTTACTACAGCCTGTCCAGGAAGACTAATAATGTGATTAGGGCAACTCCTCTTTCTGAGCTAGGCCGAAGAGGATGGGACCAGATGGCCCCACCAGTCCCCTATCAGCTGTGTTTTGAGGGAGAACAGGATCATAGTCAAAGCTGTTGGCTGGGCCTCTTCCTCCGAAGACAGTGCAGTCAAAGCAAACAAAGGGATACATCAGGTACACTTCTATTATCCCAATTCCAAGAGCCTTTGTTGAATCCTTCAACCAGATTCTTCCCCTTGCTTAAAATTGGGCAACTTCAGACACTACCATAACTCACTTGTCCATTTCTAAGAAAGTGGTAGAAGCAAACAATGTTCTTGCAAATATAAGAGCATGGGATAAAGTGAGTATATATGTATGGTCGGAGGCAATAGGACCCCTGGGGTAGTTCTGCTTAATGTAGTGGGAGGCAACTCTAGTTGACAAGTTGCGTGGGAAAGGTAAAGCTAACAGGTGGGAAGATAGTGCCCCTCCCTGGTGCATAAAGCATCCTGGAGAACTGGTGTGGTATTGTTGTAAGGCCAAGACTAGATTCTGTGTCCACCCCCTCAACCCTGGCCCACCCTATCCATCCATGAAGGCAGGTTTGGAAAACGAGTCCAAAGAAAAGGAATGCATCTCCCCAAGGCCCATATTAGGAAAGCTGGTCTAAGACGCTCTCTCCACACCTCCTTTATCCTTTTAAGCCTCAGTCCAGGGACGAGGGAGAAGACAAGAGGAAGCAACCCAAGAGAGGCCTCCTTCATGTGGTTGGGGGCTCTTTTAACTTCCTCAACCTTCTCATGAGTGCAGCATTCTTGCTAATCGTGATTCCCTGCCCCTGGCTGGTGCCCCCTTGAGAGATCTGGAGGTCAGAACAGGTTTCTCAGGACGGGGTCAGATAGGAGTTTGGAGGAGGGCAGCGTTAAACAGAATTCCTCGATGCAGGTCCCAAGCCTCCAATGAGTTGCTAGGCCTTTGAAGAAATCTAAAAGGAGGCACACAGGACTTGCCAGAGTTACAGGTCCATGGAATTCTTTTTTTAGGAGCATCCCTCTAGGCAAAGTTCCAGAATTTCATGGACCAAAAAAACCTAGGGAAGTATAGTGTTAGGGTAAGGCCCCAATGGCCTGGTTAGACCTACAGTCAAAGCCTGGTGTGAGAGCCCCTCCAGCATGTTTGAGTGACTCTTGACCATCTGCTCTCTGCCATCATGGACCACTCCAATTTGTCATACTATCAGAGTTCTGGGGACACATGTCAGGAGCTCCAGCCTGCCATCACTCTTGGTGACAGACTCACAGATAGTTTCCCAAAGTCACAAGCTGGACTGGCCTCCACACGGTACTACCAAATGGGCAGTCCCCAACAAGCACACCTCCCCACCCTGCCCCCCACATCCTCCAGGGCAGAAAGACAGGAGGAGGATCTCTCATTGCCAGACAACTGCCTGATTTCCATCAGGCCTAACCTGATTTTTTTCTGCCCTATGTGTCTAAGTCACTGCTCTGTCTCCTGGTTGTGAAGCTCCAACTTTTTCTCTGAACAGCCACAGAAGTGAGCCTTCGAGCAGTCTGCCCAGTAGAGCGTTTCCCACACTCTTCTCTTCAGGATCTCCAGCTCTTGGTTGGTAATTCTCTCTGTGATTACAGCACAAAGTCGCCACCCAGAATGAAATACAACACCCACCAAGAGTGGATATTTTGGCCTGACCTCAAATGTCCATCACCCACAGCTGTAAGACCTTTCTGAGGGTCTGTGATCGTCTATATTCCCGATCCTATATTTCAAGTGGAATTGTGTGCAAATGTTCAGTATCCAAAATAAACGAGACATCAGCCTGGCCTTTGGCATGAACTAACTCATTAAATATAAAATAAACACAAGTAAATGGCTTTTAAATCTCACTGACAGAAAGCTTGGCAACTACTCTGAGATTCTAGAGGTCATTGGAACTTCTCTCTCCAGACAGGAATCTTCCTCACACTCTGAGGGGCAGAAGGGGACTCCCAACAAATTATGGTGTCCAGGTACCCCCCCCATTTGAGGATTGCTCTGCACTGCAGACAATGACAGGGTCAGCAGGAAGGGTGGCCTCTGACACAGAATGGGTCACTGAAGCATTGGATGTCACTATTTACAAAGGGTTAGAAATTCAGGTCGAAGGCATTCAGCTTGCCACCGATTACAAATTCTAGGAACAGCCACCAAACGAGCCTTGAGTTTCTCACCAGTGCCTAGCTCTTGGCTGCCCTCAGAGTCCGTATTCACCTGGTTTCTTAAATCCTGTGTGCCTTCTGCCGTGGGGCCCCAAGGCCCCATTAGGAACGTGACTTGCTGAACTCTTATTTTTGCCTCTATCTGTAGTTTTAGCTTACAGTGGATTTATCGGGGAAGGTGGTGGGCCAGATTACCTGATGGATTGTTTTCATTCTGCACTTCACGCCAAGTGTACAGAACACAAATTGCAAGAATTCGCCAACCAGAAAACATATACATATGCACCTGTTCACTTCTAACGTTACCTCAGAGCTAGGCTAGATTCCAGTGATTACTAACCTCTTTTATAAAAACCGACGTGGAAAATGCACAGCTTTTGGTAAAAAGCATGTTCACTTGACAGCCCATCAAAGATGGGTGTTTGCCTGGGGAAGCTGTGTGTGAGCAGGTCCATTTGTAAGAGACCCGGGTCTGGTCAGGCGACAGAATTATTGGCTTTGCCCATTCACATCAGTCAGCTTCAGAGTCTGATTTCTGTGCCAAGAAGTTAGTAAGATCTGAAACTAGTCAAAGTAGCTTCCATTTACTTACAGTTTGGGAACATTTTTTCATGATTTGGTCAGCTTCCTAGGGACAAAATGCCAGTGAAAGAAATGGTTCATCAACTTAGAGTTAAATCATTGGATCAGTAGAAAGATTAGGTCTTGGTTTTTAATGAACTAGAACATGCTTTCTTTTTCTCCTTTGAAAGGTTTTCAGGGGTTTATTTCACATCACAAAATCACATTTCTTCTCATCCATGGACTCCAGAACTTTCTCACCCTGAATTTGAGGAGGTGGACCCGGTCATGAGTTGATGAGACCAGCAAGGATCCCGGAGGGCTTTGTGACAGCACGGCCACCCTCCTGAGAGCTTTTAGAGAATCAAATACTTACAACCGAGAAGCAGAGAGCACCTGGAGGGTACCCCCACTTCCTTTAAAAAAAAAAAAAAAAAGAAGTTCAGGGATGGAAAATTAAAACCCATCCACAGGTATTTTCTTCAATCTTTTCCACAGCATGGGCTGAGCTACCATTCACCACCACTAGGTGGCATCCTCGCCTTTCCCCTTCTTTTTGCTCTTCTGCCAAGAAGGACACCATCATTTCCCTGGGCAACATTAAACAGCCTCTCAGACATCAAACTAGGGATCTTCCCCTCCCTAGTCCTACTGCCCACTCTCCTATGTGGGGAAAACTTTGGGATTACTAATGAGATGTATTTGGTGTTTTGTTTCAAGGCGAGGAAGTTTTTGTCTTGCTTTTCACATGTTCCACATCAGAGTCTGACAGAAAGGCTGCTCTCATGAGTTGATTTTCTACCCTGGCACGTATGTTGTTCTCCAGCCCAGAGACACCGCATGCTACAAAGGATCCATCTAACCCTCATGGACGTTGCCTGAGGAGCAACAGTGCCAGATCCAAGATGACCTATGGAAAATTAACATCTCAAGCACTTCCCGAAGGTCAGGCTCTTTCTGCCTCTCAAAAGCTAGTCTGGGGCTTGAGGAGAAAAGTAATGTGACCCTCCAGCCTTATCTGGGAGCTAGTTCGTTTCCATCGCATTCTTCCAGAACATTCTCCTCACTTGACCACTCTTCCTCTTGCTCTTCTCTTTCCCTACAGGGTGGTAATGAGATTATGGAGGTTAGCCCTCTGGATAGGTAAATGGAAAAGAAGGAGCAGGAATCCCACAGTCACAGTTACACAGGGGGTTTTCAGAATTTTATCTTGTCATTTAAGTGGCTTACTGAAGTCCTCTTAAGTTACCACGACTGTATTTCTTTGCCTTGTACCAAGGCACTAGGGGGCACTGAGGCACCAGGAAGTCCAAAAGACGAAATGCTTGGAAGTCACAGACCTAAAGGAAATGCTGAGGTATCAGTTCCAGAACTTTGCTTCCAGTGTTGGCATTTTTGAGGACATTTCTTCAAAGGTACCTGACATTCTAGGACATGACTCCTACTACTGGCCCAGCAGGTACACAGGGTCTCCCACTTTGATGGTCCCTGCGCTTTCCAGAACAAAATACTGCCCGAAGAGAGGTGATTTTCCATACAGCTTCTGCTCAGAAGCGTCACACAGACGATAACTGCAATAGGAGAAAGATCACGATGAGTCACCACCGCCAAACAGAAGCAAGAGCTCAAAGAGCGTATGCGTCCTTCTCGGCTAAAGTAAATGTCCACCCCCCACAGGGCCACCAGGGGCCACCATTCCCACCAAAGTCTAACAGAAGAGCGCCTCCTGGAGTTGTGCAATGAGCGGCCTGCCCGGGGCATAAACTACAGAAGAGCCCCCAGTGGCCAGACCCCCACATCTTCCCTCCATGGAACGTTCCCATTTGCAGCATTAAGCGATGACGTACTTGAGATGTTTAGACACACGTTCCTACCTTCCTTTTCTCTAGGCATCTCTCCTCACTAGAACCACCATCCTGCCAGTGCCTCAGGCTTGGAGCCCTGGGGGCCTCCAGTACCCCCCTCCCCTCACTCTCCACCGCTTCTCCATAGTTGCCAAGTCCTGAGGTTCTTCCTGCCCCACATCACAGGATTTGCTCGCGGCTTCTCCCAAGGCCACCACCTTGCTTCCAGCATGCTCAGACCATTGTGACAACTTCATAACCGACCTCTTTTCCTCATTCTCCGCTCCCCGGCTTCCAATTCATTGTTGGTGCTACACTGTATTACTTTCTTAATTCTGCTCTGGTCTTAATCATGCCAGGCTCAGACACTCTCAATGTGTCTACAAATTAACATTCCAACTCTTCAGCGGGGCATGGGAGGCTCTCCACCTGGCCCCAGCAGCTTTTTCAAACCTGTCACCCTCTGCCCCTTACCTGCACCTGTGTCACCCTCTACTGGATCCCTCAATGTCCTTTTAGCTTGCTTTGCACTTCACCAGCTCCGAGACTCCTGTGGGATGCCCCTCTTCTGCTTCCCCATGCATTAAAATTCCACCTTCCCCTCAAGGCCCAACTCAAATGCTCCATTCCTAGGAAGGAAGTCCAGGAGCCCCAGCCAGGAGTAATTTTCCCATCCTCAGTGTTTCCCTGCCTGCCCCTGGAACACTCCCATGCCTTGTTCTGTAGTCAGGGCACATGTCTGTCTGTCTGCAAGACAGAGGGTCCCTGGAGGAGAGCAGCTGTGACGAACTCCCGTACTGCTCACACCCAGTGCTGGGCCCCACCCATTCCCAGTGACCCACAATCATTCGTCGAATGGATGAATGAAAAGCCTCTATTAGAATCAGCATGAACATCTTTGTCCAGCAGAAAACACAAGCAGCCCCAGGTAGAGTGTGTGGGAAGAACATGCGACATTCTACCCCCCTCTCCCCTCCACCGGGAGAAAGTTTTCCTTCAGTTTCTCACTGAAGCTAGCTCCAATTTTATATCATCTTTATATTTCAAACTTTTTTTTTTAAGATTTTATTTATTTTTCAAGAGAGAGAGACACAGCGAGAGAGGGACCACAAGCAGGGGGAGTGGGAGAGGGAGAAGCTTCCCGCTGAGCAGGGAGCCCGATGCGGGGCTCGATCCCAGGACCTGGGATCATGACCTGAGCCGAAGGCAGATGCTTAATGACTGAGCCATCCAGGTGCCCTATTTCAAACATTTTTATAGAATGTCTTCATTTCATTCTATAGTGCTTTAAAAGGCGGCGGCGGGGGGGGGTGCTTTTGTGGCAAGCTGGTCCTTATGTTGTCCTTCACTTCAGAAATTGCGGATGAGCAACTGGAGCAGATCAAATCCAGAGGCTCCTTCCAGGACCCTCGGCTCCTCGCCAGACTGCAGGTGCCCTGCTTGTCCCAGTCCCTGCTGCATCCCTGAGCCTGCTACAGAGCCTGGCACACTGGGGCCTCTCCAACAAGGCTGGCTGAGCGAACAAATGAGGAATCAGCGGGTGGATGAAGGCCATGAGCTGCTGCCCCAGGCGGCCCTGCCTCGCCCCCAGTACTCCCCAGCTCAGCAGTCAGGTCCCCACAATGAGCTTGGACCCTCTCCTCACCTACCTCTCCCATCAGCATGCAATACCAGCGACATTTTAGGATCCGTTTCTATCAGAGAGTGGCCTCTTCAAGATCAGAGCCTGGGTCCTCAACTCGGATTATTTCTGGAGGGTTGGGGGGGGGGGGCTGAAAGTTCTAAAGAACACCTCACACAGCAATCTCTCTTAATCCTTACAACAAGCCTAGGGGAGAATGTGAGTTCTCTCCACTCTACAGCTAAGTCTCAGGAGTAACCAACATGCCCCAGGGCGCAGATCTCAGTGGTCAGGCGGGGTCTAACCACTCCACCCACAGTCACCACGCTTCCTACCTAGGATGTGATTGACCCCTGGTCATCTATACACCATCTGGGTACACGCACAGACCTGAGAAAAACTGAGCGGGTTAATACAGTTCTTGTACCCAGAGGACTGGCCGCTCGTGGGTTCCACCTGTCTGTTCCCATCAACCACTCACATAGACTCCCCGACCAGGTAACTGAGAGGGGAGGGCCCCTTCCAGCCCAGCCCCCTTAAACAGCGCAAAGTGGGGCAAGAATGTTGGTTCGTGGGAGCACAGGTTTGGTCACCTGGTTCGCAGGTGGCCGTCCATTTGGTCGCCTAGGAATAGAAACGGGGAGCGCTGTGGCAGTGGAGAGCTGGCTGTGTGCCGGCCTGCCTTCCCTACAACCCTCCCCAACTCTCACGCCACCTGCAGCTCCCCCTAACACCGCAGGCCCCTGCAGGGACGCGGGAAGCCCCCATTAACGAGATCATCGGCGACCCCTTGTGGGGATGAGCGGGTACTGCGAGCGGTCTGCGAATGCACGTGCACATCAAGCTTTGTTCAACAGACTGCAAACAGTACTGTATCTTCCCGGGACCATCTATGATTTTGTTCAAAGATATATTTTTGTTGTTTTGGGGGTTAATAAACTACAAACTCATTTAAAAGTTCCTTTGTTAATGCATTTTCTTTTTCAGTGAATAGGAAACATACAAGTACTCTAATGAGCAGGAGGTTGTTCAAGACACTTTGTTTAACTTCAACAGAGGTCACCAAACTGGAAGGGTGCGGTGTGAGTGGAAACCTGTAAGGTCCTGTGCGCGGTGAGGGCCGCTCATCATTTACTCTGCCTGGTCTGCTGGTTTACTGGTCAGTGCCCAGGCCGTGATGACAAGCAGGGTCTCTCTCTGGTCACCACTGGGTCCCCACCTTGGGGCACAGGCCACTTCTGAGGCCTCACAACCCACTAACCCGATGGCCAGGTTAAGAATGAAACAGCACAGGGGTGCCTGGGTGGCTCAGGCGTTAAGCGTCTGCCTTCGGCTCAGGCGTTAAGCGTCTGCCTTCGGCTCAGGTCATGGTCCCGGGGTCCTGGGATCGAGCCCCGCATCGGGCTCCCTGCTCAGCGGGAAGCCTGCTTCTCCCTCTCCCACTCCCCCTGCTTGTGTTCCCTCTCTCGCTGTGTCTCTCTCTGTCAAATAAATAAATAAAATCTTCAAAAAAAGAATGAAACAGCACTGTGAAGGCAGCTTGGAGGAGGGGAGCCCTAGAGGCTGAGCAGATCTGGGTTGAGTTTTATTTAATGCAGCTTCAGAGAACAGAGAGAAGTGTCTTCAGACTTCTCCTTCTCCCAGAAGGTGTCAAGTTCATAGACTGAGACTATCAACAACCAGAGCCTACCCAGTCATTGTGTACAATATTTTATCATCCATTTTTTAAAATCTTATGTATTGCCTTATTCTGATCAACCAGGACGGGTATTATTAGTCCAGTGTTTACCAATAAAGAGACAAGCATCAAGAAGCTAAGTGACTTGCCGAAGTCACACAATCAGCTGGTGATAGAGCCAGATGGGGCTGGGGGTGTCTGTCTCCTCCCACAGTATTACCACTATATCCTTCTGTCTTTAGCTCAACACAGCCTAACACAAGTGGCAAATGTCCTTAATGTCAAAGTATTCAGGTGTCCAACAAAACTTTTGCATCTACAAAGCAAACGTGCTTTCCTCTTTCTATTAATTAGGAGCCAGATGTTATGGAAGCAGCAATGACAGACTCCCACCACACCTTAAGCCCTAGGGATCAGTGCGGACGTCACTCTCCCTTAAGAAAGAAAAGAGTAGGGGGTGCCTGGGTGGCTCAGTCCATTGAGTGTCCAACTTTTGGTTTCAGCTCAGGTCATGATCTCTGGGTCATGAGATCAAGTTCCGCGTCGGGCTCCGCACTCAGCTTGGAATCTGCTTGGGACTCTCTCTCCCTGTCCCTCTGTCTCCCCCTCAATAAAATCTGGAAGGAAGGAAGGAAGGAAGGAAGGAAGGAAGGAAGGAAGGAAGGAAGGAAGGAAGGAAGGAAGGAAGGAAGGAAGGAAAGGAAGAAGAAAGAAACTCCATCTTCCTATTTTCCTACTAGCCAGCAGCCTCCTCTGCATCACCCACTAAGAGGATCTTACAGACGTTCAGCAGTGCCAGACATATTTCTCTTTCTCTCATTGCTCTGCCACCCCGCACTCTGCCTGTGGGCGACAGGCTTCAGTGGGTGAGGCTGGTGGAGGTCTCCCCTGTGTCCTCGAAGCAACGCAGCCCCTGGGCACCCAAGGACACAGGAAAATAGAAAGCAGCCTGGCTCCGAGCCACCTGCCCGAGAGTGGAGAAGCTGTTCTGGACACCACTGTTTGCTCTGCTTCCCATGATTTATGTCGTGAAGCCCGGCCTTTCTCTTTCTCCGGATTTATGACTACCTGTCCCAGGGAGCGCATAAATTACTACATCTATGGCCATTTCAATCTCCGTAAGAGATGGGAGACACCTAGGCTGGCTGCTTTGTCTCCCGGGGTATTAGGAGCCATTAGGGCGTGACTTCTGGACAGCAGAAAGCCTGTGGAGGATCAGGGGGCTGTGCTGGATCCTGTGACCCCCGCCTGCTTGCCCTTGCTCTGTGTCTGGGTCAATGATCCTCGTTCTGTAAATACAGCTTCCCAGTGGAGGCAAGCACGAAAGATTCAGAGGATGGGCCTAAACACCTGAGTGATTTCAGTGCTGCAGAGACACTAAGTCCAGGGTAACCAAGTAACATGGTGGGGGGAGAGACAAGATGTATAAAAAAGGGTGACGATGGGTTCCCAAAATCACTAAGCGGGTTTGCACATAGACTCATCCAGATCTGTCCTACCCGGCTTATTTCGGAGGGAAGAACACGCCGGCCTGAGCGGGAGGGGGAGCGGCTGATGAGCACAGGGTTCCTGACTCCCAGGATGGGGCTCTCCCCGGCACCCCCCCACCACACCCACACCCACCCCCCACCCCCGCCACCTGTCCTTCTCCCTGCAGTGACTCTGTGGCCACAGGAGGTAGGAAGACCAGATTCTGTTTGTTCTGACCATGAGTGAATCCATTCTGAAGAACAGCTAGTCTGTCGTCGCTGCTTCTCGAAACCCTGCTCTCCTTACTAATGTTCCAACACACATAGTATTATTACAATCCCCAGACATGCAAACAAGTTAAAAGAATTCTATAGCAAATACCCATTTACCAACCCCCTGGACTCTACCCATAACACTTTACAGACACTTCCTTTTTTTTTTTTTTAAGATTTTATTTATTTATTTGACAGAGAGAGAGACAGCAAGAGAGGGAACACAAGCAGGGGGAGTGGGAGAGGGAGAAGCAGGCTTCCTGCCGAGCAGGGAGCCCGATGCGGGGCTCGATCCCAGGACCCTGGGACCATGACCTGAGCCGAAGGCAGACGCTTAACGACTGAGCCACCCAGGCGCCCCTACAGACAACTTCCTTGATCACATTTTTATCCATCCATCAATGCATTATAATTTTTTGGCATTTCCAAATAACTCCCAGACATCAGTGGACTTCACCTCTAAACAGTTCAGCTGGCACATCATGCCCTAGAGTTAAAATTTTCTTTACTTTTTTTTGGGAGAGGGGGATGTACAAGGTGTGAAATACATAAATCTCAAGTGTTTTATTGTATTAAGTTCTTCATATTAAGTAATAAATATTAAGTTAAAATGAGAAAGTGAATTATCTTTGTTTTGAGCATTGAGAAATACACAGTGCCCCCTCAAAATGATGAGATTTGCCTTAGGCTGGTCTGTACCCTCTCATGGAATGTTCCCACAAATCCACGCTCAGTCGTGGGGACCCAGATGGAAAGCAGTTTGCTCTTCAGTTCAAGAATGCCTCTCCTTAATCCCCCTCAAGCCAGCTTGTCTGCCTTCACTCCTGACCCATCTCTCTGCCTTGTGGCCTGGCCCTCGTGAAGGACACCTGTCTTCTCGGACTATAGGTGCTGGCTGCCGAGGGCAGGCCCAGAGCCTCATGCCTGGGGGTGATTTGCCGGCTGGGACAACGGCCCTCTACCCCAGGGCTTCAGCGGGCCCAGCAACGGCCAGATAGTAGCTTCTGGAAGAGCAAGATCAGCAGAGTAAGATTGGTGTTGATCAAAGGAAACTACCTGGTTGGCCCAAAGAAGGCCACAAGGTTTGTGAGAGAGGGAAGGAGGGCAGGCAGCAGGAGTCACATTCCAGGGCAGTGAGTCTGGTCACACAAACCCCGCACTGTGCTCTCTCACGATGGTTTTAGAGCCAAATGGCGCCAATTGCGTTCCTGCCCCAAGTCTTCTGGGGCTTTGCCCCAAGAAGCTGCCACGGCGGTGCTCCATGCCTTCCCCTCCCCCTCTATCAGAGCCACCCGGGGACACAAGTCAGGGTCAAAGCTGAAGGGCTCGGGAGCTGCAGAGATGAGACCTGAGAGCCCCCCTCCAACCCTACCCTGGGCAGATACCACCACTGAAGTTGCTTAGGTCTTCAATTGTCGTTTGAGCAAAAGTAACGCAGGTTGATCACAGAAAGTTTAAAGACTACATATAAGAATATATCTGTTTGCCCATAATTCCATTAACCACAAGAGCACCTCCATTAACATTTTGGTTTATAAACCTTCAGCCCTTTATCACTCATGTGCATTTATATATTTAAAAAGTAAAATTGGGGTGCCTGGGTGGCTCAGTCAGTTGAGCATCTGACTCTTGGTTTAGGTTCAGGTCATGATCTCAGGGTCCTGGGATGGAGTCCCGAGTTCGGCCTCGTGCTGGGCGTGGAGCCTGCTTGAGATTCTCTCTCCCTCTCCCTCTGCCTTGCCCTCTGCTCTTTCTCTCTCTCTCTCAAATAAATAAATAAATCTTTAATAAAATAAAAAAATAAAAAGTAAAATCAAATAAAAAAATAAATACTCTATATGCTATTCTGTAATTAGCTTTTAAAAATCCATGTTATTTTAACTATCTTTCTATGCAATTTAACTTATTCTCTGTATCTTTCACTTAAAATTTTTTTATTTTTTTATTATGAATATTTTAGAGTAAAGATAAAAGTAGAAATGCTGCAATGAATACCCATGTAATTATCACTCATATTCTATTAATCTAGGCTTTGACACATTTTTCCATGTGACCTTTTTTTTTTTTTTTGCTAAAATAATATACAGCACTTCCCAGACATCGTGTCAATTCCCCTACTTACTTCAGCACCCTTCCCCAAAATACATGGAGAAATTCTTACATCACAATGCCATTATCACACCTAATACATTTTTGGTGTCATCTAATACTCACTTCATAATATAATTTGCCTAAATATCTAAACAATGCATTTCTTAAGTTGGTTTGTTTGAATCATGAACTCTAAATGAGAAATAAAATTATTTGTGCAAGCAGGCATTCTAGGAACCACAGCCCCCAGGAATGCTGCCCAAGTTACCCAGTCACTGGGACCCCCTGCAGCGTTAAGACTGTATGTTCATGGTATTTTCACTGCTTCTAGAGAGATCAAGCTGCCTCGTCCTACCTCTTCAGGGTCTCCAGCGGCTCCTTCCTGCTCATGACGCCGGTGTCTGGGTCCACCGTGGTTAAAATGCACCTGGACACAGACACAGCATCATACAAGGGACAAAGCAGAATGGCCTTGGCCCTCCCCTCCTTCTCCCTGCCAGGGGTGGAGGAGCCTTACCTGGAACAAGCCATTATTCTTTTCATTATCACGTCGCCAATAAGCAGCTCATCCCACGAATCCTAGGGGACAAAGCACAAAATTCCTATGAGCCCTTCTGAGCCCTTTCCCAGACACACCTGTGTAGGGACTTCACATGAGGTGCCACCTAGTGAAGCCACTTACGCCCAAGATGGCAGACGTCTACGTCAGCCCTGAGAAGCCACACACCCTCCTGTCCCCTCTCTGCCTGTGACATGTCTGTCCATCTTCCCGAAGTGAAAGGCTCCCTCCGCTCTCTGTGGTTGGAACTCCCCTCGGACAGATGCCACTGGGCTCGAGGAGTGGGGAGTGGAAGGCTTGGGGACCCCAGAGGGCATGGGGGACAGAGAGAAAGGGCGTGGAGGGGGCATCACTCCAAATTGTGCAGCCTCTGGTGGATTTAGACCCTGAGGGCACTGGTAGGTTTACCTCGCATCTCCCCTGGCGCATCCAAACAGAACAGATCAAGGGGGGGCCCAACGTCCTTATCTCTGCATCGCCCCTGGCATGTGAACAAAGCGCTCCAGCCCAGCAGGCTCCTCCGGCATTGGCCCACAGCCTGGGTCAGTGGTGCCTCCTTTTCAGGACAAATCAAATCAATGGACGTGGCGCCCCCTCAAAGCCAGCAGGGGAGGAGATAGGAACAGTTAACGATCGACTTATTTTTTAAAGTTCCAAAAACTTTGAGCAAAAGCACTGTGAGGTCGTACACCGTGCGTGGGTCCAACTGCACAGACAAGAACTGATCTGGAGGTTGAGAGGAACAAAGCCTCGGATTGCTCTGCTCAGGGGAGGTTTATGGAAAAGATAGGATTTGAATGGAACCTTCCAGAACAGAGACTCCGGAAGGCACAGAGGAAGGGTGAGGAGGCTCAGGGAATGACTAGAAGGAAGACACTGAGGAGACAAAGGACACGTGATCGTAGTCCTGATCTTCCCGCCCTGGGAGGGAAGTGCCACTACCTGAGGGCTGAAGACAAAAATTCTTTTTTTTAAAAGATTTTTTTTTATCTATTTGACAGAGAGAGACATAGCGAGAGAGGGAACACAAGCAGGGGGAGTGGGAGAGGGAGGAGCAGGCTTCCCACCGAGCAGGGAGCCCGATGCGGGGCTCGATCCCAGGATCCCGGGATCATGACCTGAGCCGAAGGCAGACGCTTAACGACTGAGCCACCCGGGAGCCCCAAGACAAAAATTCTTGACTTAAAACCAACCTGCCCAGTCCTTTGTTGGTCACAAGCCAGAAAGAGACCTGCAGACTCAGAACTCTGAGAGTGTGTATCATTCTTGCTAATCCGTATTGTAGTTTTTAATTATAAAATGGGTCTCTTAGCTGCAGGTGTCACAAGGATCCCCAAAAGCTTGGGCACCCGGACTAGAGCAGCCCCAGCGTGTTCTGTGTGCGTCTGCCCACCAGGGGGCACTGTGGTCATAAAAAACATAAAAGAGCCAAAAGGAGACATGTGGGTGGCTCTGGTTAGGAAATTAATTTATTATTCACTAAAGAAGTATTTCCAGAGCCCCTTTTAGGTTAGGGATTGAGTCACAGATAAATAAGGTAAAAAATTCCACCATAAGGAAAGCCAGAGATGTAAACGGGTCTAAGGCCTGAGCCTTGGGATACTCTGAGCCCGAGCAGACCCTTGGGGGCCGTCAGCTCCCGTCCAGTCTGGGTGGATAACACCCCTGGGGTCACCTAACAGCCTGCGCTCACCCCCTTCCTGGCATATCTCGCTGGCCTGTCCACAGTCTGATAACCTGGGACTGTGATCTCCTTGGAAGAAGCAGCCATTCTTCTTCAATCCTGTTTTTCCATGGGTCACCCACAGTGCAGGGGACACAGGGGCACCAACTCACAGTGGGATGAGTGACACACTATGACAAAATGAGCTCAGCCAAAATGTTGTATTAACATCCGACTTAAAATGTAAAATGTTCCCAGTTAGGGAGCGCTCAGAGTTAGATGGAAATGAAGGCTTCCAGAACAAGACTCCGTTCAAACAAATCGAAATCTGAGGTCCCACTCTGGGCTGTCTCCTCTGCACTCAATTTCATCTACATCTGACCACCTCCAAACTCTGGGGTAGCAAACGTCATCAACAAGACCCAGAGCTCAAGGATCGCAGGGGGAAGGAAGCTTAAGTAGGTCATAGCTGGGGGAATGCCTGAGCCAGGCACCTTCACTCTGATTGTAGGACAGAAACCCTCCCCCACCTCTCTGACACTTTCTGCCTCTAGGAGCTTTCCCGCAGATTATCCACCTTGATTCTGACAGCTGCCGTCAGGGGAGGGGCCAGCTGAAATCATCTGCATTTAACAGGTGCAGGAAGCAGGGGCCTCGAGGGGGGTAAGGACCTGTCCAGGGTCACACAGCCACTTAGTGAAGCAGGTGGATTCAAATCCGGTGCCCCAACCTCATGCACGCCCCCTACAATGCTCAGAGTTCCTTTGGGCCCTGGTACAGTCTGGGTTCAAGACCCAGGTCCTCCACTTCTTGCCATGGGGTAGCCTGGGGCGAGCCAGGTCACTCCCCACCCCCCCACACCCCCACACCCCCCCCCCCGCCTTTCCTCTCCCCCTTATAAAAGGGGAATGATGACTTTCATCTCCCTGGGCTGCAAAGCACAATGTGAGCATTAAATGGAAACCCTCCCCCTCCTTTCTCTTTCCCTGAGAAGGAAAACCCTCCAGAGAAACTGCTTTCCTGGCCACAGCTGGTGCGAGACGAATATCAATGAGATGGTCAAAGGCAACTCACACTGATTTTTCCCTCTTGTCTGAGTCCGACTGAACTGGGCAGGATGTGAGCAAGGGCAGACGCGCTCCCCTGTCACCGTGGAACACGGAGGGAGCCCAGTCCAGGCTGTCAGGGAGAGAGCACGTTTCCCACCTCACACTAGGAGCTGACCTGCCATCTTTGGAAGACATGATACACTCAGAGCGTTTCACATAAAATGTCAGAGGTGGATTTGGAGTTGCTTCTGTTGCCCTTCACTGACTGACACTGCATTTATACTTTTCATAAGTGACCTCAGCCAAACTGATCCTTTAACAAGCCTGTAAGGTAATCCTAGGCAGAAAGGACCACCCCGTTCTCCAGGCGGGTAAAGGAGCCTCAGAGGGAGCGCACAGAGTCCTACAGGGGCCAGCGAGGAAGCTGACGGCGACCTCAGAGCCTCGGGTTTGAGTGTGGGCTTCAAACCCCTGGACTGCTTTTTTTTCTTTTTTCTTTTCTTTTTTAAGATTTTCTTTATTTATTTGACAGAGAGAGATACAGCAGGAGAGGGAACACAAGCAGGGGGAGTGGGAGAGGGAGAAGCAGGCTTCCCGCCGAGCAGGGAGCCCGATGCGGGGCTCGATCCCAGGACCCTGGGATCATGACCTGAGCCGAAGGCAGACGCTTAACGACTGAGCCACCCAGGCCCCCTACACTGCTTCACCAAACCCCCAGGCCACCAATCTCTGCCTTCATGGTTGACAAGGGAGAGAACCAAACGAAACATCCAAAGACCGTGACAAAGGTAAATCTGCCGCCAGAATCATGTGGCCCTCGTGCTAAGCCACAGCGCAGACATCTGAGTGCAGATCGAAGGTGACACTGGAAGAATTTTAGGGTAGTTCCATCTAGCTTGGGGACCCCGCTCCCACACCCCAACAGCCATACTGTAAATGCCTGTCTTCTCCTGGGGCCATTGGTTGAATAGGAAAGCCAACTTCAACAAGACATGAGCACACCCTGCGTTTGATCCGTGGCCCACACACATCATGTATTTTATGCTACATAAATTTGGCTCAAGAACTACTCTACCTACTGAGAACTGTCCTCAGAAGTCTCAGACCCAGAACTGCCCCAACACCAGCATGTCATTTATATTTGTGCCCTCCGTGCAGAAGTCTGCATTGATTAGATGCTCAAGAAATCAAAACTCTGAGGGCGCCTGGGTGGTTCAGTTGGTTAAGCGACTGCCTTCAGCTCAGGTCATGATCCCGGAGTCCAGGGATCGAGTCCCACATCGGGCTCCCTGCTTGGCGGGGAGTCTGCTTCTCCCTCTAACCCTACCCCCTCTTGCGCTCTCTCTCTCTCACTCTCTCTCTCTCTCAAATAAATAAATAAATAAATAAATAAATAAAATCTTTTAAAAAAAGAAATTAAAACTCTGAATTGTCTAGCATACAACCAATAATTAGTGAATTCTTCAGAATAATCTAATGCAACATCAGAGACTCTTATACCTTAAAAAAAAAAAAAAAGTTAATTCCAAGAAAAGGGACAAGGAAGGCATCATGTTACCTCTGCATAGACACCACACCCTGAAATTACAATATTGGGCCTGAAGTTAGTCACTTTAACTTTCTTCTCCAGCCTGGAATTGAGATCTGCCAACGATGCCTCAGAAAGGATCAAGTATGGGCTGGTATCTGAGTACGCAATCTGGTAAGGAAATAGAAATGGTTAGAATGTGGCACACAGAGGTCACATGTGTCTAGTTCCTGGAACCCTCTCTCTTCCCCGGCCCCACCCCCGTGTGCACATGCACGCACAAACACACACACACACTGTTTCTAAATATTTCTTTTAGTTCTTTATATAGAAAAGTCATAGTGGTTCAAAAGTCTTAATTAGCCTTGCAGATAACAGGATTTACGTGATGGAATGAAGAGAACATGGCCTTGGGATCAAGAGCGCCACTGGCCAAGTGCCATAAGGAAGTCACTCCACCTTTCCAAGCCTCAACTTCCCCAATGTTGATGGGCCTGATGACCTCAATACGGGTGATAAAAATACTCACTGCTTCCCTGGATACCTATTTTTTAATGCAACATGCAAATCAACATCAAATCCATTTACTGACCATTTATATAGTTTTTTTTTTAACAGCCCTAATAATTGTGCTACCAACCCTCCTTTTATGATGAATCCTTACAGCCTTATTCCTGAAAGGGCCAACCTGGTCACTTGAAGTCTGTGGATCTCCATACTCCCACACTCATTTGCCCAATTGTGATCTGCCAGTTGCAATCACACTATAAAAAGGTTGGACTCCACACACAACTACAGAATAGAATGGAAAAGATCCGGACATAGAACAGTTTTGAAATCCTGTCGGCACTGGAAGGCTTACATAAGTAGGAAGGTAGATGCCCATGGGAAAAATGCAAGAGTCCCCCAAATCAAGAAACACAGATGAAGCTTCCAAAGGAAGGGCTTTCTTTTTGCCTATTGTTTATAATCCCCAGCCACCGCTCAGGCCAAGCTTCCTGGCAAAAATGACAGAGCGGAGCTCAGCAGACAGGCTGCCCTGCCTGACGGGCTCTGCACCCCTGAGGAAGCCGATCTTCCACAGGACACACCAAAGGCCAAAGCCCAGGGATGCTCCTCTGACCTGGTCGGTGGGCCGGAACACGTCCAATATTTGGTGAGAATTTCTCGGTCGCAGGTGAGGCTCAAAGTGCACCAGGCGATACGGCTGCGTCTTCAGGAAGCTAGTTATCCACTGGGCCGCCGCCTCCCCACAGTCCCTGCCCTCGATTTCCAGGCCGTGCACTCTGCAGGGGGTGGCAGGAACAAAGAACGGCCGTGGCTTTGAAAATCTGGACACCCTAGCATGTCCTACACGTATCCGAAAGGCTGGGATGTCACTGCGATTCTTGAATTATCAGGAAACATCATTTTAGCCTGGCCCTGCCTCCCAACCCCTGTGTAAGGCTCAATGAAGTCAGTTTCAAGGCTTGCTTTCCCCAGTTTTATAACAGAGTGATGCATACCTGTGCCTCCCTATCTGGATGCATGGGAGAATAAAATAAGATCGTAGGTTTGAAAAGATAACAGAGTTCTCCAGAAGAAAACGAATACATCAATATAAAGTAAACTAACAATTACTGCAAAATCTGGTTCACCCAGCTAGATAGCAACCACAAATCTTTACTAATAGGCCTAGCTAAACGCTACCAGTATGATGATAATGAAACTAGATGCAGCAATGTATGCGAAAATGTTCTATAAAATCTAAAACATCATAGAAAACAATAATAATCTGATCTGATTTGATTGCTAGCAGTAAGCGTGGGATTTGAAGTCTCCCCGGCCGCAGACATACAGGATGCAGAACTGCACATGGCAGCTGTTACGTGTCTCAAAGCTCAGAGAAAACAAACAGTATAGGCTGGTGTTTCCCATGTGTGGGACCATTACTACTGTGGGTATTCAAGATAAGACTTGTACTTGGGTACAACAGGAAAGAATGGTGAGTTGCACAGAGAGAACGTGATTCTGTTCAGTTTCACGATAGTAAGGCTTTAACTTCTAGCAACATGTGATAATCATCTTTTTAAAAAGAAAGAACGGACCTCAGGTCCAGAGACTTCTGCAGGCAATATTTCTAGCTAGAATTAGGTAACATTCCACTTATAGCATATATTTTTTTAAAGATTTTACCTATCCACTTGAGAGAGAGAGAGCGCACGCACAAGCAGGGGAAGGGCAGAGGGAGAAGCAGACTTCGTGCTGAGCAGGGAGCCCGATGTGGGGCTCAATCCCAGGACCCTGGGATTATGACCTGAGCCAAAGGCAGATGCTTAACTGACTGAGCCACCCAAGTGTCCTGAGAAACACATTTCTTATGGAATTAAAATACTTTGATATTTTATTACTGAAGATGTATGTAAATGAACTCATTACACATCCTGTACAATAAGAAAATACTAAGAATAAGGAAAAAAAATTAATTAAATAAATAAATGCCTTTAAGGTCTTTTTTAAAAGCTGAATCAATTTGAAGGAAAACATTAAATAAATACAGTTGACTCTTGAACCACGTGGAGGTTAGGAGCATCAACCTTCCATGCAGTGGAAAATCCACATATAACTGTTGACCCCCCCCAAATGTAACTACTAATAGCCTACTGTTGACCAGAAGCCTTATGGGTAACATATAAACCGGTGATGAACACGTATTTTGTATGCTATATGTATTATCTATTGTATTCTTACAATAAAGAAAAGAAAATATTATTGAGAATCATAAAGAAGAGGAAATAAATTTATAGGACTGCACTGTATTTATTGAAAAAAATCTGCATGTTCAAATCCACAGAGTTCAAACCTGTGTTGCTCAAGGCTCAGCTGGATGCCCGAGACCCAGCATAAAGCATGGCTGGGTTGTACCAATGTCTGAAGTTTGGGAAAGAGGAGAGAGTCAGGTAGACCTACTTGGGGGTGCATCCTGTTCCCACAAATGACTAGCTCCATGACCTTGGCTTTATCTCTTACTTTGTGCCTTAGTTTCTTCATCTATATAATGGGGATAAAATCACAACCTTCTTATGAGGAGCACGGATCATCTATACAAAGTCCCGCAAACAATTCTGAGGTTTCGGATGTGCTCAGTAGATGGTAGTAATTATTCTAGTTTGGGGTTTTTTTTCCCAGTTATTTCAAGGGAGCTTTCTTCATAGCAGTCTCTTATGATCCTTTGTATTTCTGTGGTATCAGTTCTAATGCTTCCTCTTTTGTTTCTGATTTTATCTGAGTCTGCTCTCATTTCTCTTAATCTAGCTAAAAGTTTGTCAATTTTATCTTTTCAGAAAACCAGCTCTTATGTGTGCCAACTGTCCTCAAATTTTTAAAAAATAGGGGCGCCTGGGTGGCTCAGTCGTTGAGCGTCTGCCTTCAGCTTCCCAGGGTCCTGGGATCGAGCCCCACATCGGGCTCCCTGCTCAGCGGGAAGCCTGCTTCTCCCTCTCTCACTCCCCCTGCTTTCATTCCCTCTCTCGCTGTGTCTCTCTGTTGAATAAATAAAATATTTTTTTAAAAAAGTAAAAAAAAATTTTTTTAAATAAAAATAAACCAGCTCTCCATTTTGTTCACCTTTTCTATTATTGTTCTGGCCTCTGTTTCATTTATCTTACCAAAGATCTGCTCTGATCTTTGTTATTTCCTTCCTTACGTTAACTTCGGGCTTAGTGTGTTCTTTCTCTAACTCTTTGAGGTATAAAATACAGCTGTTTATTTGAGATCTTTCTTTTTTTCTAATGCCGGCATATATCACTATAAACTTCTCCTTGAAAACTGCTTTTGCTGCATCCCAGAGGTTTTGGTAAGTTGTGTTTCCATTTTCGATTGTTTCAAGACGTTTTCTTACATTTCCCTTTCGATTTCTTCTTTGACTCGCTGGTTGTTTAGAAGCGTACTGCTCAACTTCTGTACGTTTGTAAACTTTTCAGCTTTCCTCCTATTTTCATTTCCAATTTCATACCATTGTGGCTGTAAGAAAATATATGATACGATCTCAGTCTTCTTAGGTTTGCTGACTTTGTTTCGTGACTTGTCACAGGATCTACGCTGGAGAAGGCTTCTTCTGTGCTTGAGCAGAACATGTATACTGTTGCTGTTGGAGAGAATGTTCTGTAAATGTCTGTTAGGTCCACTCAGTGTCAAGTATGACTCAAGGCCAACATTTCATTAGTGATTTTCTCTCCACATGATCTATCCATCGTTTAAAGTGGGATACCGAAGTCCGGACTCTTGCTGTCTTGTCCACTTCTGTTAGTGTTTGCTTAACATATTTAGGAACTCCGAGGTGAGGGGGGGCGGCATATATATTTATGACTGGTACATATTCTTGATGAATTTATACCTTTTCGGGGCACCTGGGTGGCTCAGTCGGTTGAGCATCTGCCTTCGGCTCAGGTCATGATGTCAGGGTCCTGGGATCAAGTCCTGTGTCTGACTTTCTGCTCAGCGGGGAGTCTGCTTCTCCCTCCCCACTTCCCTATCCCACCCCCCCCCCAGCTTGTGCTCGCTCTCTCTCAAATAAATAAAATCTTAAAAAAAAATTTATCCCTTTTCATAATATAATGTCCTTTTTTGTCTCTTATTACAATCTTTGCCTGAAAGTCTATTTTGTTTGATTAAATACAGAAACCCTTGCTCTCTTTTGGTTTTTGGTTTCCATGTGTGTAAAATATCTTTTCTTAACCCTTCACTCAGAGCCTATGTGTGTCCCTAAAGTTGAAGTGAGTCTCTATGAGGCAGCATATATATGGGTCTTGTTTATCCATCCAGCCTCTGTGCCTTTGATTGGAGAATTTAATCCATTTCCATAAATTATTAATAACTAGGGGCTCCTGGGTGGTGCAGTCAGTTAAGCATCCAACTCTTGATTTCAGCTCAGCTCGTGATCTCAGGGCCGTGAGATTAAACCACCACATCGGACTCCACGCTTGGTGTGGAGACTGCTTAAGATTCTCTCTTGCCCAGGGGCGCCTGGGTGGCTCAGTCGTTAAGCGTCTGCCTTCGGCTCAGGTCATGATCCCAGAGTCCTGGGATGGAGCCCCGCATCGGGTTCCCTGCTCCACGGGAAGCCTGCTTCTCCCTCTCCCACTCCCCCTGCTTGTGTTCCCTCTCTCGCTGTGTCTCTCTCTGTCAAATAAATAAAATCTTTAAAAAAAAAAAAAAAAGATTCTCTCTTGCCCTCTCCTTCTGCCCCTCCCCCCACCAGCTGTTGAACACACTTGTGCACTGTCTCTAAAAAAAAAATTATTGATAACTAAGGACCAATTAATGCCATCTTATTATTTTCTAGCTGATCTGTAATTCCCTTGTTCCCTTCTTCCTCTTTTTCTATCTTCCCTTGTAAATTGGTGGTTTTCCATAGTGAAATGCTTTGATTCCCTTCCCTTTATCTTTTATGATTCCACAGTGGATTTTTTGCTCTGTGATTATCATAAGGTTTAATTAAAACATCTTATAGATACAGCAGTCTCTTTTATGCTGATAATTTAATTTTGATCTCATACAAAAACTCTACTCTTTTACTTCCCACTCCCTTTTATGATTCTGATGTCACAATTTACCTGTTTTTATATCACATATTTATTAACAAATTATTGTAGCTACAGTCGTAATACAACCATTATGCTAGACTTAAGTGATTAACACACCACATATTACAGCATTCCAGTATTCTGAATTTGATTTTGTGTTTATTTTTTATTTACTTCTTTTAGTAATCTCTACACCCAACACGGAGCTCAAATTCATGACCCCAAGATCAAGAGTCACATACTCTACCAACTGAGCCAGCCAGGTGCCCCAATTCTGTGTTTACCTTCATCAGTGTGTTGTATATTTTCATATGCTCTCATATTAGCATCTTTTCCTTTCAGCTTGAAGAACTTCTTCTAGCATTTCTTGTGAGGCAGATGCAGTGGTGATGAACTCCCTCAGCGTGTGTTTGTCTTGGAAAGTCCTTATCTGTCCTTCACTTCTAGAGGCTAGCTTTGCCAGAGAGAATATTCTTGATTGTCAATATTCTTGATCATCCCACTCTCTACTAGCCTGTAAGGTTTCTGCTCAGAAGTTGGCTAATAGCCTTATGGGGGTTCCCTTGTAAGTTACAAGCTTCTTGTCTCTTGCTGCTTTTAAGATTCTTTGTCTTTGATTCACGAACTTGGCGATGCAAAGGTCTCCCCAGATTTAAGAAGTTCTCAGCCATTACTTCTTTAAGTAAGTTTTCTGCCACTTCCTTTTTTCTTCTATGGGAACTCCAATAATTCACCAATTGTTTCTTTTAATGGTAATCCATAGAGCACATTGGCTTTTTTCACTCTTTCATTCTTTTTAATTTAATTCTCTTTAATTCTCCTCTGACTGGATAATTGAAAGATCTGGTCTTCAGTCCCAAAGATTCCTCTGTTTGCTTGACCCATGTTGCTGTTATAACACTCTAGTGCATTTTTCATTTCATTCATTTTATTCTTCAGCTCCAGAATTTCTCTGTGGCTCTTTTTTTTTTTTTTAATCATTTCTATCTCTTTTTTTCGCTTCTCACTTTGCCCATTCATTATTTTCCTGTTTTCACTGAATTGTCTCTCCATGTTTTCTTGCATCTCATGGATGGGGTTTCCTTAAAACAGCTATCTGAGTGCTTTATTGGGTAAATAATACACCTCCATGTCTTTGAAATAGGTTACTAGGTTCCTATGCTCTCTGGGTGATGTCATGTTTCATTGACTTTTCATGTTCCTTGGGGTTTTATATTGCCGTTTTCATATTTGAGTGGGAGTTACCTCCTCCAGTCTTTACCAACTGCCTTCCTAGAGAAGATTCATAAATACCCACAATATGAGGCCCTTATATTAGCACAATTTGTTCTCTGCCTTTTTCCTTTCTCTTCCCACATTTCTTCTATGTTCTGAGCAGCTTCAGCTGTGTCATTGGCTCCAACATTCCACTGACACACTGTCCCAAAAAATCCAAGCCAAAAAAAATCCAAATGTTCCTAAAACTTTCGACAAAGATAATGTAGGCATGGTTTGAGGCTATTTGCCTGAATAATCCATATAATGGCCCTAATTCTCTGTATCCCATTAGTGGCGGGCATGGCTTGTAAGAAAATCAAGCAACAACCTCAACAGTAAAAACAGGTGTACCGGCTATGATCATGACCTTTTGAAAGTGACCCCAGCACCCCAAGACTCATCAGAAATCTTTAAGAGACTGTGGGCTGAAGTTACAACTCCTTCACAAGAGAATGGCCTGCACTGCCAAAGAAACCCAGGTCCAAAAGGTCCTTGACATCTTCACCCTAAGAGTCTGTAAACTATTGTAACATGTTTAAACCTCCTCATTTTGCAATTTCCAAACATGCTCTTGTTTAGTTGTTGAGTGTGGATCAAAGAGCCTGTATGGGGCCATGAAAAAAGTTTCCACATAATTCCAAAAGAATAATTAAGTGGAAAAAAATAACCACAAGAAAGTATGGGTAGATACCTAGTCATGACAAAGAAACGGGAACCAGGATGTGAACAAATATATAATACAAATTGCAACAGACATATTAAAAAGTTTGCCTCAGGGACAGCTGGCTGGCTCGATCCGTGGAGGATGCAACTCTTTGATCTTGGGGTTGTGCGTTCAAGCCCCATGTTGGGTATAGAGCCTACTTAAAAAAAAAAAAAAGTAAAAATAAGAAGTTTGCCTTGGACAATAAATTAAATGCAAATCACAGCAACAAGAAACTGCCATCTTTTTCCTATAAAAATGGCCAAATATTTTTGAACATAGTGGTCAGAATGCAATTAGACAGAGATGCCCATAAAATACTGGTAGCTATACTAGTTGGTATAACCATTCTGCAAAACTATTTAGCAACATATATCAAAAGTCTATAGTTTCTTCTTTCTAGCAAAACCACTGCTAAAAATTTTTTCCTAAGGAAATAATAAGCATTTTGAACAAAGATTTACACCAAGATTTTTTCACATTCTTCTTCACACCTGGAAATAATGGAAAACAATCCAAATATTTAATTGTGGGAACATGTTAAAATGCATTATAAGACACACCCTCAGAATGAAATAGTAGGCCAACGGGAAAACTGTTATTTTTGAAGATTTTGAACAATATGAAAAGGTGGGGCACCTGGGTGGCTCAGTCGTTAAGCGTCTGCCTTCAGCTCAGGTCACGATCCCAGGGTCCTGGGATCAAGCCCCGTATCAGGCTCCCTGCTCAGCGGGAAGCCTGCTTCTCCCTCTCCCACTCCCCCTGCTTGTGTTCCCTCTCTCACTGTCTCTCTCTCAAATAAATAAATAAAATCTTTAAAAAAAAAAATATGAAAAGGTACTCAACATATCAAGTATATGGCAGTATTCAAGACTCTGATTTTTATATTATTTCTTTTAAAGTATTAACTACAAAGACAGAAAACATCAGAATACAGTTATATATTATAGTTACCTCACAGGTTTTTCTTTACTCCTTTTTTTAGTATTTTCCAGTTTTTCAACTACAAATATGTATTACATTTATAATTTTAAAAAACCCATCAAATTAAAATAAGAACACGTTATGTCTGAAACTCTAAAATATTACAGAAATTAGATGGATATTGCATCTTATAAACTTCTGGGGATCTTTAGATATTTTTCAGCTAACTCGGATCTACATTTTTTGATGTGATGTTATTTTCTATGATAGGCTATGGACTCCATTCAGCGTTCACAATGCATTTTAATTCAAGATGCAGAAACGATGACAAGAGTAAAATTAGACCAAATTCTAATTTCCCCATAATGGGATAAAAAATCACCTCAAGACATCAGGTCTCAGAAGCAAAGCTAGTTTTCTTAGACTGTTTCCTTATAGCCCTTCTAATGTCGGGGAAAGAGCCTCTGTACAAAGGCCCTTCACGGCTGAAATCTCCACCCTCGCTATCACGCAGACAGACCCCTGGGCACATGCAAGTTGGATCAGTCTCCTGGTTGCAGCGGTCTTTTCTATCTTAGAACGTCCTTTCATTAGTACTAAATATCACAGTTCACAAAAACATTTGTGACTCCCTTCCTAACTCAGATATGGAAGGTTCCCGGTCTCTCCAAGCGTAACAGGGCAAGTCCAATGGTAATACCTAGATCTCATCTCACGCCTTCCCGGACACTGTCCACCATCACTCCCACCTCATCTCTGTCCTTCCTCCTCTGGTGGTGGTATTTTCTCCACCCCTGCCTTACCTGCACTTGCACACCGCATTCGTGGCCGGTGTCTTGAGGGGCAACTGCAGGTCCTTCGTGTAGGCTGCACTGAGAGTCAGGGCATCACCCTCACAAGTCAGGGAAATCAGGACCAGACGAGGCTCCTGTCGAGCTGTAACCATGTTCCCCTTCTCATTGATCACCAGCCAAAACCTGCCATGTTCAAAACACAAGATACGCATGGCCCACCATGACCAGCGGTCAGTCTCTGTGGGAGCTTCGGGCATATAAATGTCCTCTTTGATTTCCTCCCTGTCAGCTTGGTGTGTGTGAGTTTGTATGTCTGTGTGTGTGTGTGTCTGCCTGTCTATCCTTAAACACCAACTCAGCAGCACAGCAAGACTGAGTCTGTCTGTTAATTTCAAAGGGTTTAGGAACCGGTCAAGCGTCCAATATATATAATAGCTTCGGAACATTCTGAGCTCCTGGATGGCACAGAAATCAAAGATGTTATTATATTTTCATCTCAGCTGCTAGAAATTCTGACCACTTTCATTAAACATGCCCCAAAAAGATGACAAGAAGCTATTTCCTGGAAAGACGTCAAAAGCACAAGGAAGCACCATGCCCGGCACACAGTAGGCCCTGGGCTCCTGCAGTGAAATAACAAGACTGTGGCTCTGTTGTTCTCAGAGCACGGAGCTCAGTGGGACAGCACAGGATGCCACTTACACCAAATCCACCCCTACCTTTTTAAAAAATTCATGTTTCGATATTCAGGGCGGTGAATTCTGCAATTTGCTCAAAGGTCTATTGTTACTACGGCCAAAAATTTTTCTGGCACAACACTCCTGATCTAGAGGCACTTCCCAGAAAAAAAAAAAAAAAAGATAACTGGAGAAATAAGAGCAGTCGAAAACGGTTTCAGGGGTGGGAGGTGGGGAGTCATTTGTATAGGTTATTTCTCAGCTACTGAGGAAGCAGAACATATTGGCATGTTGGTAATTTCAATTCACACCGGACCAAGTGATTACAGGTATAGAAGTGAGCTGTGCTTTTGGGGTCCATAAACATAACATGCCAGTGAAGATGTGAGGTTGTTAAAGAGCTTCCTTGCATCACCTCCAGCAGGTCATCATGGCTGAGATGTTTCAGCTACGCTGGAAAAACAAGGTTAGTGGGAGCCCTTTCCTCAACTGCCCGTTTATCAGTCCTCATCCTGGACCCAGACAGAGCGCTGCCCTGCTCCAAATCTTTTGTACCAGGACATGAATATTCTTCTTCATGTAATAATTCTTCCAGGTAATGATGGAAGCCTGATCTTTCCTTTCTTTTTAATATTTTAAAGTAATCTCTATGCCCAACAGGGGGCTCGAACTCACGACCCCAAGATCAAGAGTCTCAGGCTCCTCCCACTGAGCCAGCTGGGCATCCTGGCAGTCTGACCTTTCTAAACCACCAATCTAATCAGGTCACCCCCCTCATGGAAAATCCCTTCATGGCTCCTGCTTTCAGGATAAAACCCTAACTCTTCGACAAGGCAGGCAAGGCCCTTCATAACCCAGCTGCCCTCCCAGCCATTCACAACTCCCTGTGCCCTCACGCAGGCCAGCCTTTTTCTTTTTTAATTTTTTTATTGTGGTAAAATATGTACAACATAAAGTGCCTGGATGCTCTTAAGTATATCCAAAAGGATTGAAACCAGGGCCTCACACAGACACTTGCACACTGATGTTCATAGCAGCATTATTCACACCACCAAAACATGGAAACAACATCAACAGAGAACAGATATTTTTTCAATGTGTTTTTAATCATTTTAGGTGCACAATTCAGTGGCATTAAGTACCTTCACAATGTTATGCAACCATCACCACTACCAATTTCCAAAACTTTATCATCCCAAATAGAAACTTTGAACCCATTAAGCAATAACTCCCCATTCCCCCTCTCCCCCTGAGCCCCTGGTAAACTCTAATCCACTTCCTGTCTCCCTGAATTTGCCAATGCAGCTATTTCATATAATTAGGATCATGTATTTGTCCTTTTGTGCCTGACTTATTTCACTTAACATAATGCTTTCAAGATTTATCTATGCTGTAGTGTGTATCAGAACTCCGTTCCTTTTTGTGGCCAAACAATATTCCATTGTGTATAGATGTTGTTTATCCATTCATCTGCCGGTGGATATTTGAGTTGATTCCATCTTTTGGCCACTGTGAGTAATGCTGCAGCGATCACTGGTGTAGATGTATCTGCCTGGTTTCAATTCCTTCCGGCAATTCCCTAAGAGTACACTCACCTTTTCCCCAGCATACCTCCCCTCCAAGTCCAGGGTCTTTACCTAGCTTACTCCATGTCTCTCTCTCTCTAGAATGTTCCTCTCCCAATTTACTTGCCTGGAAAGTTCATAATTATTTTTGAATATTCAGTTCAAGCTATGATGTTATTCCTGCCCACCCCAGGCGGTTTCTGGTGCTCCTTCTCTGCGCTCCCCGGTACTTGTCACACTGAGTCCAGTAAGCCTTTGTTTGCTTGTCCCGATCCCACTTCGTGGTAGTGGGTGGACAAAAATAGTGTCTGCTCTGATTGTTATTTACTAATATATGAGCTCAGGAAATATTCCCAGTCCATACAGTAAAATGACAACGCCCCTTGCCTCTGGGGCCTACAAAATGAATTCAATAAATTCTACCATCTTGCAGAGTCAGAAAACTCCGTACAAACCATGAAGTATCTAGGACTCTTGGCTTCCTTCCTGAAGCAAAGATGCATAGCTCACTCTTCACTAATGCTGTGAGTTGCCCTCTGTCCCGAGAGCTGCAAGGAGGAAAAGCTACAGCCCCCCCCCCGCCCCCATCTGCCCCCCCACCCCCACCCCGAGTTCTGGGTTCCCTGCAGGAGCTGTGAGGGCTGGTCTGGGAGGAAAGAGCTTAAAGTGCAGCCTTACGATGAGGCTCCGGGCTGGCCTGACGCCAGACCCAGAGGAGAACAAAGCTGCTCGCTCGGGGCCTCTTGTGCCTTCCCTGAACCCCAAGCGTTCACGCAGATCGTGACTACCCAGATAGGGCCTTAACAGGACTTCACAAAGCACCCGCGTGCTGAAGAAAACGAGAGTCCTGGTCCCCCCGCTGGGTGGCGCGGGACCTCGGTTTCTTTATCCATGCAAGAGGGCTTGTGAGAATTAGGGGAAAGAGCACGTGCAGTAGAACTTCCTCAGCGGCAAGAAGCTGAAGCTTCAGTGGCTGTCATTATGATTATGCGCTCCACCTTGGTGCGCTCCTTGAGGGCTGGGCTCCGCGGCCCCAAGTTTCCCCCAGTTCTCCAGAGACAATTAACAAAACTAATGTGGCGGGGACCAATCCCTGGGCGCTCGTCGCCTCCGCCAGCTGGAGTTGAAGTCCGTTTGCACACTGGCAGACACCGGACGCCAAGACCACTCCCGGGCAGGAGCGCAGAGGTGAAAGCGCCCATGGGAGGTGGGAATCCAGCTGTCTCCGGGAATTGGGTCGGGACACAGAGCCCCAGGGTCCCGGGCCCTGGGGTCCGCTGCCGGGAGGTAATGGCCCCTCGTGCTCTTCGTCCTTGCCCCACTGTAAGGGAAGGAAGGACCTGGTGGCGGGCTCCGCAGACCAGCCCGCTCCCGCCCGCGGCCGGAGCCCGCCCCGCGCAGCCCCGGCCCGGCCCTACCTGTCCCGCAGGTGGCCGCAGCGCAGCCCCAAGGCCGTGCCCTCCGCCGCGCTCACCGGCACCCCCTTGCACGACTTGACCGGGTAGATCCAGAGCTGCGCCACGGTGCCCACCTGCTGCAGCCGCCGGCGCCGCCTGGAGCGCGCGCGGCGCCAGGCCACCGTCCCCAGCGCCACGGCGGCCAGTCCCAGCGCGGCCGCCCCGAGCCAGGCGGGCCGGGACGGCGCGGGGAGGCGCGGCGCGGGGAGGCCGAGGCTGCCCGGAGCCCACGAGCCGGCGGCGCCCATGGCCGAGCGCGCGGGGGCGGCTCCGGCGGGGCCTTCCCCCGACGCCCAGCCGTCCGCGGGCGGGAGCGCGGCGGCCGCTGGGGGTGCGGGGGCGGTGCGGCCCTTGGCCGGAGCCCAAAGGGCAGGCCGCTCCCAGGGCCGCGGCCTCTTCCTGAGGGGTGGCCCCCGGGCGCCGGCGGTGGGAGGGGGTGGCTCCGCGCCGCACAGCCTCCTCCGCCTTCCGCGGCCGGCGGCTGCAAGGCCGTGCGCCCTCCCTCCCGATCGCTACAGGCGACCACTTTCTTTACGAATTTGTGCGTTTTTATTAAACCTAAAGTGGTCCCAGATACCAAACTTGCAGGACTAAAGCGTGATTTCTAAATTCGAAATCCGGCGGCCGGGAGATCCCTGCCTTGGGGAGAACGGGGCGCCGGTGGGCCCGACGCGGCCGGCACGGAGCGTCCCGCTGCCCTCTGCCACCCTCCCCGCTGGCCGCGCGGGAACGAAGGAGCTCGCGGGAGTGGGGATCAGCGCGGACGGAGGCCGCCGGGCGCCAGGGCCCGCGAACCGCGGCTGGCGAGGAGCGGGCGGTTGCCCGGGGCTCTCCTAGCGCCCGTCACAGCAGCACTGGGCGGCGGAGAGCGCCCTCTACAGGGCTTAGGGGGCGGTGCGCCCCTGGCCGCGGTCCCAGGGGTCGTAGTTCGGAAGGTTGGTACTGGCCCAAGATCCTGAGGTTTTTTCAGGGCAGAAGGGAATGTCCACCAACGCTGCAGGCACTTTCAAATCAGGTCATGTTTCAAACAACAAGGTCAGCCATCAGGATCAGGGTGGTTTAAGAGTCTTAGGTTCCTGTTTGATGTGCCAGACTGTTAAAGAAAAAATTATTCTGACACTTGTTAAAACCTAAGGAAGACTTCTTTTGAGACTATTGCTGATCTAAGATCAGGAACAAGACAAGGATGTCCACTCTTCTCACTTTATTCAACAGAGTACTGGAAGTCCTAGCAGAGCAATTAGGAAAGAAAATAAAAGGCATCCAAATGAGAAAGGAAGAAGGAAATCTGTGTTGCAGATAACATGATCCTATATATAGAAAACCTAAAAGACACCACCAAAAACTATTAGAATAACTGAATTCAGTAAAAAACAATATACAAAAATCAGTTGCATTTCTATACATAACAACAAGCCATCAGAAGAGAAATTAAGAAAAGTAATACCATTTATATCAAAAAGAATAAAATATCTAGGAATAAGTTTAACCAAGGAGGTGAAGGATCAGTACACTGAAAATTATAAAATATTAATCAAAGGAATTAAAGAAGACAGAAATAAAAGCAAAGTTGTTCAGTGCTCATGGATTGGAAGAATTAATTTTGTTAAAATATCCATAAAACACAAAGCAAGCTACAGAGTCAATGAAATTTCTATCAAAATTCCAATGGCATTTTTCAAAGAAACAGGAAAAAAAAAACAATCTTAGGGTGCTGGCCGGCTCAGTCGGTGGAACGAGGGACTCTTGATCTTGGGGTTGTGAGTTCAAGCCCATGTTGGGTGTGGAGATCACTTAAAAATGAAATCTTTAAAAAAAAAAAAAAGAAGGGTGCCTGGGTGGCTCAGTGGGTTAGGCGTCTGCCTTCAGCTGGGGTCACGATCCCAGGGTACTGGGATCGGGCCCCTTGTCGGGCTCCCTGCTCAGTGGGGAGCCTCCTTCTCCCTCTCCTGCTCCCCCCACTTGTGCATGCTGTCTTTCTCTCTGTCAAATAAACAAATAAAATCTTTAAAAAAAAGAAAAAATCCTAAAATTTGTAGCCAAAGTAATCTTGAGAAAAAAGAACAAAGCTGAAGGCATCATATTTCCTGTTTTCAAACTATATTACAAAAGCTATAGTGATCAAAACAATATAGTATCAGCATAAAAACAGACACGTGGATCAATGGAACAGAATAGAGAGAAGAAATAAACCCATGCATATATGGTCAATTAATTTATGACAAAGGAGCCAAGAATATACAAAGGGGAAAGGATGGTCTCTTCAATAAATGGCAGGGGCCAAACTGTTACATGAAAAAGAATGAAACTGGACCTCTATCTTACACCATACAGAAAAGTCAGCTCAGGGCGCCTGGGTGGCTCAGGCAGTTAAGCATGTGCCTTCGGCTCAGGTCATGATCCCAGGGTCCTGGGATCGAGTCCCGCATCAGGCTCCCTGCTCGGAGAGGAGCCTGCTTCTCCCTTTGCCTGCTGCCCCCCCTGCTTGTGCATGCTCTCTCGCTCTCTCTCTGACAAATAAATACAATCTTTAAAAATAAATAACAATAAAAATAAAAATGAGCAGCAGAACTAAGCCGACATTTTTCCATAGAAGACAAGAGGTATGTGAAAAGGTGCTCACCATCAATCATCAGGGAAATGCTACCACCTTACATGTGTTAGAATGGCTATTATCAAGAAGAGATAACAAGTGTTGGGGAGGATGTGCAGAAAAGGGAACCCTTGTGCACTGTTGGTAGGAATATAAATTGGTGCAGCCACTAATGGAAAACAGTATGAAGTTTCCTCAAAAATTTAAAAACAGAACTGCCATAGGATCTAGCAATTCCACTTCTGGGTATTTATCCAAAGAAAGAGAAAACACTCATTTGAAAAGATTTACGCACCCCCATGTTCATTGCAGCATTATTTCCAATAGCCAAGACATGGAAACAACCTAAGTGTCCACTGGACAGATGAACAGATAAAGAAAATGTGGTGTGTACCTATAATGGAATATTATTCAGTCTTATTTAAAAAAAATGAAATCCTGCCCTTCAGGACAAAGTGGATAGACCCTGAGGGCATTATGCTAAGTGAAATAAATCAGATAGAGAAAGACAAATACCATATGATCTCATTTATATGTGGAATCTAAAACAAAAACAAAAATAAAAACTCATAGATACAGAGAAGAGACTGGTGGTTGCCAAGGGCAGGGGGTAGGCGGTGGGCAAAATAAATGAAGGTGGTCAAAAGACCCAAATTTCCAGTTGCAAAAGAAATAGGTTCTGGGGACGTAATGTACAGTATGTTGATTATAGTTAACAATGCTGTGTTTGTGGGGACGCCTGGGTGGCTCAGCCTCTACCTTCAGCTCAGGTCATGATCGAGGGTCCTGGGATCAAGCCCCACATTGGGCTCCTTGCTTGGTGGGGAGCCTGCTTCTCCCTCTGCCTGCCATTCCCCCTGCTTGTGCGCTCTCTCTCTCTCTCTCTCTGACAAATCAATAAATAAAATCTTAAAAAAACAAAACAATGCTGTGTTGTGAATTTAAAAGTTGCTAAGAGATTTCATCTTAAAAGTTCTCATCCCAAGAAAAAAATTACAACTGTGTAAGGTAATGGACATTAACTAGACTTATTGTGATCATTTCATAATATACACATACACCAAATCATTACATTATATACCTTAAATGAATACAATGTTATAGGTCAATAAAAAAAATAAGACATTTGCAATAGAGATATAACAATAGGGCTCAACTCTGAACACAGCAAAGACAAGTGGGGATTTGTAGCCAAGATGCAGAGAGACAGGGTCAGTGGATGGAAGATTACTTCAGGGAAAACATCAAGGGTAGGAGGACTCTTGTTAAACTGACTTAACGGGATTCTTGCTGAAGGGAGGCCAAGGTCTTATACGTCGAAGGTGGCGATGAGGAACTCAATTCTACAATACGAGTGATCAGATAGCCAAGGTGAGGACACTCTCAAAATGATTTAGCAGGGTTCTTGCTAAACTGAGCTAGGCAGGCCTGGCAAGGCCAGAGTCAAGGTTGCGGCCTGGTGGAGAAGAAGCTTCAGAGGAGCCTAACTAGTTTGGTCAAGGAGAGAGACAGCCTAGAACAGTACAATTCAAGACCCCACCAGAACTGTCCACACAACTGGAGAATGTCTTAAATCAGTAAAGGGAAAGTCTCCAAAGCAGAGCAATTCTTTTTTCGCCAGCTGACAACACACATCGAGGCCCTTTAGTGCTCAGGGAAGATCTGTCTGAACACTGTTCACCATAGATATTTAGGCCTACACGGATTATATCTGTCCTATTCTCTCGTTCAACCCCAGGTCCCCCTTTCCCTGCCCTACTCCTGTGAAAGCCAGGAACTGTGTTCAGAGTACAGGGGTCAAAGTTACTTCCACTGTTATGGTACAGCAGTGACTGCCTCTTCCAGGAATGAGCTGGAGGGAGAAGGGGCTTGGGTAAATCTAGCTTTCCACAGAGAAATGTTGATGGATGGTGATGTGCGCCACGAGAATAGAGCGGAGTACACACATCTGAGCAGGACACAGGACTCGAGCTCCATATTCTCCATGTTCTCCACAGAAAACCAGCTCATGGGCACTCAATTTTGTGTATTTCTGATTATCTCCTTCTCTAATTTCTCTTCAGAAATTTAGTTCAGTTTAGTTTTTATTTATTCATTTAAGTCATCTCGACACCCAAAGTGGGACTTGAACTCGAGATCCCAAGATCAAGAGTCGCATGCTCTTCTGACTGAGCCAGCCAGGTGCTGCTGTCTTCAGAAATTTTAAAAGGAAAAAATCTGCTTCTCTATTTCAATGGCTGACTTTAAAGTCTCCTTTGATAATCTCCTCACGGTCACTGGCCATCCTGCCTCAGTGGGCCTTCTGTGTAGTTCCTGATGCCCCCCACCCCCCACCCACCACGGGAGGTAATGTTTGCAGAGTCCACTCCTGTCTCTGGAGGGAAACCCTCTGCTAGGTTACTAGAAAAGAGTAAAGAAAAATGAATACCAGCGACCGAAGTTCTAATATAAAATGAGAGAAGCCCTGACGCAGACTCATAAATACCAAAGAAAAAGTACAACTGAGATTCACATTTATTAATATTAAAGAAACCACAAAATTATAAGTGGGTTAATTCATCCACATATTTCTTCAGCAAGGATTTGTTTAGTCATACCAAAATAGTCCATCTCCCTTCGTTACAAAAAAAATTATTTGCACCTAAAAAAAAGTGCTCATTCTTTCCTCCTCCTCCCTCCTGTTCTCAAAATTCCATTCTTTTTAAAATCCCATCTTTTCTTCATCATACTTGGAATTCCAGGCGATGCATCTGGCAGTTACACACAGATTACTTCCATATGGCTTCAGGGAGGCTTAATCGAATATAAAAACAAGATCTATAAAATAACTTCCATACTCACGTACAACCTGATTCCAAAACCCATGAGCAAAAAGTTGACAGAATTCAACAGCCATGTAAAGACCA